TTTCATTGTTTACGAATCAAGTTTATTAATCAAGTTGGAAAAATTATCGTTTTGTACTCTATACGCGTCTATAACGCATTGATATTTGAGAAAAGAAAAGAGAAACATAAAAATATAAAATCATGAAATCAACGTTTCTTTTATCTCTTTTATAACTTAGTGCGACGTAATGTAATAATGAAAAATACATATTAAGATACGTAATTGAACTTTTTAAATTTATTCTGTACTCCTGACGAAACTTATTGTTTCACTAACAATACGTTTGAAAGTTTAATTACGTATCTCAATATGTATTTCATTTCGTTACAATTCGTTATATGGTTTTTCCCAAAATTCAAATATTACTTCGATATATCTCTGCCAAATTTGTATATTTTTCATTATCTTTGTCAAATGGAAGATGGCAGTTTCGTACATGACTGACAATGAGAATTCCTTGTGTTAACAAGATGTCCATCGAAAGGTACGGCGACGGCCGTCTCCAAGTGGAATAACAAAACATCGAAAGCATCACCTGGAGTGTATCGTTATTACCAAATTTTGCAGGATATTACAAAACACATCAGACTGTACGTCAGATGGCTCGTGTTAATTAAGCCACCGTTATGAAAAACGGTTGCAGAGAATGGCGGTCCGTCGCCCCCGGCAAAACACCGCCTTGAAACGTGGGGTAGAACGATAGAATACCATGATTTATTTCACCACCACATGTGAACCGCAGCCTTTTGCCGGCACATAACTTTAATCTACATTAACGAGAACCAGTGCATAATTTCGTGCAATATTCAAAATGATTCGTCCCTTCATGACGCAATATTACACAGGCATTGCCTGTTGAAAGTTTGTACACTCATTAAGAAAATACTGTTCAATTAAAGGAGAAAAACCAAGGAAGTGAAATTGGGAAAAACATGTTGCCGGCTACTTGCAATTATAAAATTCTTGGTATGGCAAGACATTTTTCGAAAGGAATGCAGCCAGCTTTTTTTTTACAATTCTTCATTTGAAAAAAAGATTGATTTCTCAATACTAATGGATACTAATTAGTAGATATTAATTTATGATACTTTTAATACTTTTTTTCTTTTAGAATTTATCGAAGGCTAAAAAAGTAATATTCTATTTGTTCACTGAAGAAAGGATATTATTATTCAATATAGGTACGAAATTTTAAAGATTTCTTTCAGATTGAAATTTTAAGAAACTTTAAGGTTGAAATTTTACTTTCTCTGCTAAGATATAGTGCAATGATTATAGGACATTAAAATATAGATAATATGTAATGTAAATTCATAAAGATTTAATTCATAAAGATAAATTTAAATTGAATATTGAAGAAGATACAATATTATATGACATGGAAAAATTATAATTAAATATATCTTGCGTGTAGAAAAATTTCGGATGCTCGACAGTGTCATTACAGAATAAAGATAAGAATGCAAATAATTCGTTATTGAATATCACGAAAAAGTTCGTGTCACGAAATAATTTTTAAAACATCAGACAAATGGAATGATTCACAAAAAGTCGTTATCGATGATTTGTGTAAACCGCTACGTGAGTACGAATTTACGAGGGAAACTGTACAAAATTACATGGTATAAACACGAAGAATACCAATTTACGGACGTCTGCCTACATAAATTGAATACGAAGTAGCAGCAAAGAAAAATCAGAAAGAAAGTATGTACTCCTCAACGATACATTTACAAATGACTGTATAAGAAATGCAAAACATTCGAGATGTTTTCACTTAATTTCAGTACCAATAAACGGTATTTTAAAGATCTGCTATAAAACGTCATCATTTTTTTTTTTTTTTTTTTTTTTAGTAAATTGTTATTA